ATCCAATTCTGTTGTCACTGGTGTTGATGTCTAACAGGAACTCGCTGTCTTGTCATGGACAGGCCAGTACTGAACCACCCACAAAAACAATTTTAAGGTACTATAATGTTTGCTCTCCATTTTTATTAGAGCACACAATGGCGTTACTATGTTGACTGTTGATAGTATAGCACTAAACTGAGAAAACTACAGACATTTTGTTTGGTCACAGGATGAGGCTAATTTCTCACCATGGCTACCTTATCCAAGTCTGTAGAGACTCCGTCTCTCCTTACAATGTGATCAAGAAATTCTACTTTTTTGTGTTTCAGTTTCAAGCCTGCTTTATCCATTCACTGGAATACCACTCTAAGTTTCTCAGTCACAAACTCAAATGGGTGACTGAACACCTAAACATCATTGACATAGATATTTTCCATCACATTTGCTTCAGTATAAGATCCAATATCCTCTTAAAAGTGTCAGGTGTACTATACAGGTGAAATGGCATGATGCAAAGATTCATACAAGCCACTTATCATGCTAAAAGCAGCATTAGATATGTTCTCGTCATATAGCTCAACCTGCCACTATCCAGATACAAATTTTTGAATCAACAGGAGCTTTCTAACACATCCCAACATTCGTCTAATCACGGTAAAGGATAAGCATAAGTTTGAATTATCATGTGCACCCATCTAAAAGCAACATAGAACATTGATGTATCTGTTTATTCTTGAATATCACTACTGCAACAAACCGAGTACTCTTTAAAAATTGTATGACTCCGTCCTTCAACATCCACTACTGGTGATGCCACTAATGATATATGAAAGCCGGCACAGCTGTTGCCTTATTTGATATGCATTGCCTGTATGTTGTTCCGAGTCATTGTTATTAGACCCAGTCAGACATCTAATCCTGGAAATATGTTGATATAGTCAACCAACAAGTCACTGTGTTGCTTTCGCTGAAATGGGCCTAGATTGTCTGCACAATCCTCAACCAAAGACCTCAGACTGGTTGATAGCTACATACTTGTTTTTGGCAGTAGTGTGACTAATGAAACAATACTATTGTTACCACCAGTATCACTTACTTCCACTTTGCTTACCACACCTATTTCCATTCCAGAACACAGCTAGATTACAAAACAACAATGGACAGAGCTAATGCTGCATGTTTTTTTAGACAGGAAACAGTTCTTCATGCATGACTTCTATAGCAATGTTACATGATATTGATGCATTAGACACAGTAAACCATGGAACACCACTCTTTATGTGGAGGTACTGTTATTCCCTCTGCTATTTACACCATTGCAATCCACTGTTACTGGGCTTGATCTGGCCAACATAGGAAAAATCTTCTGAGGAACATAACTCACTCATTGCACAAGCAAAACTGATGGATAATTTCTACAGTACATCCATCCTGAGGATGCCAATGCCAGATCCAAGGTCAGAAACGACTAACTTCATTCTGTGAGTGACAGTTCTTAGATAGGTCCAGAGATTTACCTCTCCACTAACTTCTAGTCCAAGGCTGTCCAAATAATGTCCTGTGAGCCTGCAAACAGATGCTCGTTTCAAAATATCTATTATAATAATATATAAACTCATTAGGACATGTATAGGTGTTTGAAAAAGTGAATTTCAAAAATGTTGGGAAATGGAATTTTTATTTGTTGAGCATAAAGCTAAACTACAATGCATAGCTTGTGTACAGATGGTGGCTGTGTGCAAATAATATAATATAAAGAGGCATTATGTTTCTCTCCCTGAACAAAAATATTCAAAGAATACAGAGGAATTGGAGTGATGAAGGATTTAAGCAGCAAACTGGAGTAGCAAAGAAACCTCATAAACAGAAAAATGATCTAAGACAGTTACAACTGCAGCCTTGATAGCATTATTTCTTGCTAGGAGGAGAGGAAACTTTTATTTAAATACAAGTCCAGAAATACATCTTTTGAGTGGATTGTTTATTTTTATTACTTGTTTCTCAGAAAATAATAAAAGTAAGAAAAACATTTTGTGATAGAGAATTAATCAAACAGTGCACCATAAAAATGGTTCCAATTTTTAGTGATGAAAAGATGACTAAAAACATCTGGAACAGTTTCACTGTCGCAAGACACTGTTGCTTGTCATGTTTCTGTGATGGACAAACAAGTTAGTGAAAACTGCAAAATACAATCTAAAACTGTTCCTATCTGTTTTATGCTAGTTGCTTATTTTTATTTGAACAGCTAATGAAAATTTAAATTCTTCAGAAGAGCTGCTACATTTCGCATCATTATACGAAAATACAAAATAAGAGGGAATTTATAATGAACTAAAAATGCAATAAAGGAAGATAGTAATTTTCCAAAGTAAGTGTTTAGGTAGTTTTACTGATAGTACTAAATAAATGGCTGGCTAAAATATTGGTTTTTATGAAAAACAGATGGCACTCAGTACTAGATGTTACACTGTATGGTGCACCACGAGGCTTTGTGAGGGTCTCTATTATAACTGATTAGGTGCTGGAATCGTATCTTGACACACGCACAGAAAATTTGAAACCTTTTCAAAGGAGCTTGATTCTGTTTATAGACCTTGCACAATATTTAAATACCCTGAACACAAATTTGAAAGAAAAGAACTAAATATTAACCAGTTTTACATTCACATATTTGGATTTCAAATCAAACTTTTGTTGAAATCTAACCTCAAAAGAAATGATCTGACACATTTTGAGATTTGTAATAAAAATTTTGTGACATGAAATAATCTGTTAAAGTTATAGCTTTCAGAAAATTTGTACCAAAGCTATAAAGTATCATTGAAAATTTCAATACGAGATTTCAACAATTCAATAAAATGAAGCCAAGTTTTGGGTTGTTCAACAATTCACTCAACACCAATGTTGCTAATGCAGTTACAAAATATCAAATAGAATTAACCAAGTCACAGGTAGATGAATTCTATGTCTCATTAAGCTCCCTCCTAAAGATGATTTGAAGAATATTGGACTTAAAATGGTACCATTGTTTGGCAGTATATATATACATATATATATATATGAAAGAAATTTTCTGACATGAAGTATATAAATAAAAATATGGGAATAGCATTACAGACAGCAAAATGGAGGACATACCTTGTCTTTGGACAACAAATATCGAAGTGAACGTTGTAAAACTAGTGTAATAACAGCTCTGCTCTCAGTGTTCTCATTAAATTACATATGCTAAACTTATTAAACTGATTCATGTTATTCATTAGTAGTTGTTAGCCAAATAATACAAAATCAAACAATTGTTATTTCTGTTAATTCTTAAGAACAACACTTTACAAAGTCTGACCTACTAGTATGTAACTTTAAATAAATCTGGCTTACCATACCAAAGATTGACAGCACTTGTCTCGTTTATTATCATTTGTCAGAACAAAATTGATATTCGCTGGCTGGAGAGGTAATCTCACTTGGAGGACTTGATATTGTGAGATCTACCAGTGTCCTTACTGCTCCTGTATTGACCGTGAATGAAACCTCCCACTCTTGTAATCTCACAGGTTTGTACCAAGCTTCATCTAGCCCTGAGAGAATAAGCTGTCTGCTGTACTGCTCCAAACTGATAGCCAGGCCTCACTTAGGCTCTGTTAGATCTCTTGATTATTTGTTATAACATAAACCACTTGCTGCTGATTGTCTTAGAACTGTTGAGATGCTGGTAGGTACCAATTACTTTGTCTACCTTGCTGCTTGGCCTACCAGTCCATTAGCAAAGCAGGTCCTTGACTTCTCTTGCCCAGGACAATATCCAGATTGTGCCATCATTGGTATTGGCTGTGGTATGTATTTTAAGGGTGACATGGATATTCCTGCCCATTCACTGAAGAGACTACATAAATCACTATTGAACCTGAAGACCTTCAGTTCCATGTGTTACAAACTATAACCTTGTGTTGATCATCACAGTAATCTGAAGTGTCTGTTACACCAAGTACTTAACCAAGTGATATATCTACTGTGCTCATAATAGGAGACAATGAATCAAGATTTGATCATGAAAATCCATATCAACACCCAGACCTGCAGCATATTGATTTAATTTGATGAATATTATTCAATAGTTTGAATTTTTTATCATCTTGTACAGTTATTTGTAACTTAATTTTTGTTTTTATAATTATACTTGTTATTTGGAGTTGTATTTTGTATTGCAATTTCAGCTAACATTAATTTTCTTTTATTTTGAGGTTTTAACTGGTTTAATTTTTTTTCAGGCACATTGTAAAAAACAAAAGAATGTTTTCGTATAATTGAAATTTGAAGATAATATCGTCTTTAGATAACTAATATCAGTAACCATAGCCCCTGATGATGGTAATTGTTACCAAAATTAATCAGCTGATACAGCTAATAAAGAACTTATCTTTCATTGCTTCAAAAGTGTTGTTCTGTACTCGTAATATCTTAACTGGCTGTTGAAATCTTTGTGTTTTAGTACAAATCCATTTGTCTTGGTCAAACGATCACAGTATTCTATATGTAATCTAAGGATGCTTTATTAGAACTTGTGATCTTATAAATTGATTCAAATTTGACCTAATGTTTAACAATAAGTTTAAGCATAAGAAGACCTTGATGTAAAGAAGAGAGAAATAAGATTTTAACATAATGCATTTCAAAACTAATGATGAATAAATATATATATTTATGAATATTCAAGTAAAGTTTTCTAAATATTTGTAAAAGTGTTTTGCAAGTAGCAAACCTGATATACAAATGTCATAAAATTGCAATATTACTCTTGCTTCACCAAAGGTTACATATCATAATGATTGTTCCATGATGCTTATACTTACTTGGCGCAGTAACTGTGTCCCATCCTTCAAAGGGTGGTAGACTTTTACTGGTATTAGTTGAGAATATTAACTTTCTCAAACATGTTTAATGTAAAAACTTCTGTGGTTTAATTTGCCAAAATGAAAGAAAAGTTTGTGACAATGATGAAAGACAATTTATCTCAATTCAAGATATATTTTTTTATCATTTAATAAAACTCAAGTTTGAAATAGTAAAAAATGTATTTAAAATTAACATGCATGTTTATTTTCATCCGTTCTAGGGAATCGAAAGATCTTCAGATATGTCTATAGTACTGAAATACAGTATGCAGTAGAAAAAATACAGAATGATATAATATTGATAACAGATTTAAATCAAAAATGCCACAAGCACATTACAATCTATATAACAATAATGTAAGGAGTAAGAATGTACATTATTATAAGTAGGTTCATAAACTAAGTAATATTTATAAGTTAAGTGAAAAGAATCATAACCAAAGTTCTAAATTAATGTCATAAAGTTCAAAACTAATAAAAAGACAAAAAATAATCAACATTAGATTGCTGTTTATGATTAATGATAGAAAAACACAAAATATAAGTTTGAATAGGTTGAAAACAGACCAAACTAAATAATAACTGGTAGAAAGTAGTTTTACTGAAGGTTCTTTAATGAACTATTCTATTTCACAATCAAAGATAAACACACACACACAAAAATAAAAACTTCAGAGGTCAACATGTCACTTCAAATTTCTACTGTTAGTCTATATAAAACTTACAATATCCAACAAATTAAAAAGATTCAGAGCACTTTATAAATGACTGACATTGATTAAACCTTATATTGAGTTCTGTTTTCAATAATCAGCGATTTTAAATCTGAGATTTAACACACCTATGATACAGTAGCTTAGTCTGCTAAAGCTTTTTACATTTGAATCCCCCCTTTGGCCTGTATTCACTTCTTCAAAAAAAGTAAAAAATTATGAAAGCCTATAATCTTCACCTAAAGTAACTTTCTTCTAAAACTTACAATATTTTATGTGGACAAAACATAAAATTGGATACCAAAATTTCTCTTTACCATAAACATGATCACTAACAGAAGTATCAGAAAAGAAAAGTAAATATATTATAAACTCATTTGTAATGTCCTTATTTAAGAAAAATATATATTGAGTACAGAGCTCGTTAATGTGCACAATAATATCAATATGACAGAAGACTAATAAAGGCCACTTGTTAATAAATATATATTTGTGTGACCCAATTTTTATGAAACTTAATTGGCTAAGCAGAGACACAGTAAAACTTATTTTTTTTTTTTTTTATGAATTAGGAATAAAGTGTATAAATGATTACTGGACCAACCAAATAAACTCCTGAAGTTTAAATATGTTGTCAATTGCCTTGACAGCATGAAAACTGAATGGAAACAACTTTAAACAGAGATCATAAGCCACCACTGAAATAAAGTTAATTTGCTTAGCAGAACTTCACAGCCAGGTAAATTTATTGTTACAGCGGTAAAAGAAATCTGAACATTTTATACAGGCTATCTCAAATTGAAACATACTACCACTCTGTCCTGACTAACATTATTATTTTAATATTGCATTGATGAACTAATGTAATATAGAAAAATTGTCTGCAGATCATTCCTATTTAAGATTCACATAAAAATCATATTTATCAGTTTCAAATTATCTGTGATTCTGTACCTTCTACTTTTCTAACATTGCACTTGTGTAGGTGAAGGTGCTCTGATGAATGTATCTTTAGTCATTCTTCTGTCTTAGATACATATGTGGATATTTTTCTTTGGTCATCTTTAGAATATTACACAGTCTTGGAACTTCTTCCCATAACCTTAAACAGCATCTCAGCTCTAAACGATTTCCTAGATCAGCTTGTTTCATGCCACTGACCATCACTGGCCGTATTTTATAATTTAGACAAGCTTTATTAGCATACTCATTTTGATAATGCTGGAAAATGTAACGGACATGGAGGCTATCTGTGCTTCTTGTCTGGATGTCAACAGGCTCGATTTCCTGCAAATAAGAAGGGCTTACAATAGGAACAATGAAGTCAACATTTTCAAGCAATTTTCTGATGTTACTGTAAGGATCAAAAGCAAGCTCAACATCTAACTCCCTTGCAAAAGTGACGTTAAATTGAAAATTCATCTTATCTTTCAGTTTCATGGCAACTTCTATGTCATCTAAAGTATGAGTGATAAACACTGATGCAAATTTATTACTTAAAGGCCGATATAAAGTTTCACAGATTCTCTCAGGTCCTATGTATACCTGAGAATCAGCTTTTCCACAAGCAATTCTTGGTATTCTTTTTAATTGACCTGACACACTTCCTTCATTATCCCAAAAGTTATACAGAGTGACAGCTACATCCTGTGACATTAGTATTGGACCTCTACTGGTAAAGCTATTTCCCTGATATGGAGCATATGTATACAAGTCATTGATATCAGCGTCTTCACTTCTGCAACTGGAAATGCTTTCTGGCTGGAAAATGGAGCCATTACTCTCACAGCTCAAGTTGGAGATTTCATAGGAGCTTCCACTTGATTCAATGTCAATGCTTTCTTCTCGATATCTTTTTTCTTCGTTAGCATGAAACACTGGAGTAGACTGAATGTTACGTTTGAAATTTTTATAACTTTTTCTGTTACATTTTGAGCTGAAGTTGTTTTCAAATTCTTTTTCTTCTGGTTTTACTGTTACACAACAGTTAGTTCCAAGAAGTAAATCTTTTTCTCTAGCATTACTGCAACAATCATTTCTACTTTCAGTAATTTCTAGATTGTTTCCTTCAAAGCTGTGACTAGCAGAGTAAATAGAACTGTTTGTGCAGCTGAACAAGTCACTTTCTCTCGTTGTATCATTTACTTCACAACAGAGATTGTCTGTAGAAGTTTGCTGTCTGTTGGAGAGAGACGAAGAGAAATATGATGAATCATCTTCAACTGGAAACTGACTATGGTTCCAATTGATGGAATCACTTCTTTCTAAACTTTGTGAATTTGAATGTTTTGCTTGAAGAGTGATTATCTCACCTTGTATTTTACGTAGTATGTCATAACGCTCAATATCTAACAATATTTTTAAGATTTGTCCCAATGTCCCAGAACCTTTTGATAAGTTTGATACAAAGAGAGTGTATAAAGGCAATTCATTTAAATTACGTGAACGTTTTTCAATAATTTTAAGTTCTCCTACATTGCCAACTCCAAGTTTGCTTGCAATGTCCTTCCAATCATCATCTGATCTAGCCTCAACTGTTTCTGCTATTTGTTTAAATACAGAATGAGGTACATCTTCATATTTAACATTTCCTATTTTCATCAAAGCATCTTTATAAAAAGACATTAATAAGCGGTTTTCTTCTTCCAATTCATTCGTAATTTCATTAAGTATTTTATCAATTTCTGCATTTTTTCCATGGAGTCTTTGATTAATTGCATAAGGCACATATAAACTCATTTCTTCATGCACAACTTAGAACCTGTTCCTGCAAAATACAACTTTGTTAAAATCATAAATTTAAAATGAAAACAACAACAACAACAAAAATAACTAAATTTAATCACATAGACATACAAAGTCAAGTAGAATTTGAAAGATAAATATTTTGGTAGGTTTGTAGTTTTAGAATGATACCAAAATCTTCCAAAGTGCAAGAAGGTACAAAAAAACATGCAACACATGGTTATTTTCAACTCTGAATGTAAGATTTCATACTTATATAATTAAACTTGACATGCCAAATAAACTATTAGATGCAAATTTAAATTCATTAGGCCATGACTATCAATGAAACTTGTCAGAAACATAAATCTGTCACGTCATGATATGCATTAAGCAGGGGAGTTGATTTGAGATTGGATTAAGTGTAAAAAATTCATGGTCACTTTTGTATTTGATACTTTTAATCATACACCTGTAAACGTCTCCAAAAAAACTTGCACCATTTCAACCATCTGAGGTTAAAATCTAAACCTTGTAATTATAATTTGGTCAGCTTGATCTAATTCAGCAATAAAGATACAATTTAATGACTTCAACAACTGTATAACTTTGTGTCACATTGTCCTTTTGTATACAATTGGAATGAAACTCATTTATCACCTGAGAAAATAAAGAAATAGTAATGGGTTGAATGTTTCATGACCTTGACCACTATGCTTTGGTTAATTATAAACTTTATAAATAACTAAGTTGAAAAATTTATGAGTAAGTCTTAGAGTCATTTCGAACTTCTGGGCAAAACTGGGAGTGAATACATTTAATTTGACTAACAATATTTACTTTAGTATAAATTGATATTTTAAATAACAATATTTCTTTCTATAAAATTAGAAGCAGTTTCTTATCAGCTCCTTTAATGCTGATTTCAGGCCTAAGTTTGAGAATGAGCAAATGTTTTTTTATATGGAAGTTGTCCTCATTATTGTTTCTTGCTACAATCTTAAACAGAAACTAGATTGGGCAATGATGTTGCATTCTTTTACAGCATATTCAACTTATAACAGACTTAATAAGGGATCTAAGATTATCATGTTCTTTCACTTCTTGGTTTCTTAATTTTAAATTTCTGCTTCTCATTTTTGATGCTTTAGACAATATAAAAATTCTCAAATTGAATTACTGAAACCTGAAATTAAACAAAAACAACAGTTATTGAAATATTTGTCAAGACTGTCCATAGGGGAATTTAAGTTATTGGAAAATCAAGGGAGAATTTTGGACTTTATACACTTAAAAACTTATATTAAATCACAGAAATAAAACTTTTGAAGGATATGAAAAAAATTGCTTAAGTTAAATAATTTGACATGATAGTGAGATAAAAATTCATTCACAGAACATCTTGATAATTTTACTTTTTAATTACTCAAAGTATGTTTTGAATGATGTTAAAAAAAAAGTGTTAGCTCATGGTTTGAAATTTAGTAATCCTAATAAATTTGAATGGCCCAGCATGGCCAGGTGGTTAGGGAGCTCGATTCGCAATCTGAGGGTCGCGGGTTCGAATCCCCGTCACACCAGACATGCTCGTCCTTTCAAAGAGGGAAGGCTGTCAAGTGGGTTGCATCCTTGATGTAAGAAACAGCTTCAAAAACGATGGCAGATCTTGCTCTGCCATCGGCTCAACGGTCCGCAAGGACTATGGGAAAAAAATAAATAAATTTGAAGATAAGTTTGCATGGTTGGAACATTTGTGAAGTTACTGTCACCTTGTTGTAAATCTGGTCAATCCTTTAATAATATTAGTATTCTTCTCAATGATGCTTCCAACAATGTGACTATTCCCAAATCAGTTTTTCTGAACTTAATGACCTTTGCAGTTAAAGAATCTCACTTGCTTCTAAATGGAAAGTTTTATGGTCAGAGATGGTATTGTTAGGGATTCAAAAATGGTAGTATATCTGACCAATCTTTTCTTGCATTTTTATGAAAAAAAAGGTGATTATAAAATTACCCCCAACAGTTTAAACCTTTTTAATATTATAGGTATGTTGATAACACTTTTCTCATCTTTGAGAATTCTGGTCAGGCTTCCCAATGTATTCAATATTTGAATAGTAGATACAGAAGTATAAAGTTTACAACAGAACATCAGGAAGGTCATAAACTTCCATATTTGGACACTTTAAACGGTAATAATAATGGTCATTTTGAATGTACCATACACACACACACACACAAAAAAAAACATTTGCAGGCTGTATTTTCCTTTTGCAACTTCATTCTTAATTTGTTTAAGGAAAACCTGGTTAAAATATTGTTTCATTGTGCTTTAAAAATATCTAGTGGACATGAATTGTTACATAAGGAATTCAACAAAATCAAAGAGTTTTTATATAAGAATGACTTTCCTACTTTTGTTGGAAAGTAAAAAAACGTTGTAATCATTTAAACAAATGAAGTGTTAATAAACCAAATATATTTGAAGTATTTAACTACTCTGTAATTATCAGTTTACCTTATATGGGTAAATATTCTTTTGTTGTAAAACATCAATTAAGTAATATTATTAAAAGGGTGTATCCTCATGTACAGTTCAGAATCGTATTTAAACTCAACTGTCACCTGCTGTATCTTTTTAGGTTTGAGGACCAAATTTCTACTTTAAAAACATCATTTATAGTTTATAAGTTTAATTGTTCTTGCTCCCAGTAAGGCTAGATTGGTTCTACTTCTACTAAAATATTGATAATGCAAGTGAAAGAATATACTAATCTAAGATCCTCTATTAAGTCTAGTATACAAGCCTTAAGAAAATTGACTTTTCCATCCAATCTAATGTTTTTGTTTAACTCTTTCAGCATGGGCTCAGTTCTTGGGACTGACCTCATAACCAATTTGTACTTGTCATAGTTTTCATGCTATAACTTTTAAATTAGCAAACGTATATTAACAAAGTTTGGCAGATTATCAGTAAATGTTACAATGCTTTCATATGCAAAATAAAATTTTTTTATTACGTCTTAAGGTATGTTAAGCAATGTTTTTCTCGTGTCTTTTCACATGTTGTCTAGCTATCATGCAAAGTAATTTTCATTTTAAGATTAAAAATACTTTATGCATCAGAAAATTTTGAAATTTCACTTGCGAAATCTTTATAATGTCCAGATAGTTATCAAACATTTCTTTAGAAATTTTTTTATATTTTATCTGTTATTTTCACTAACAATCTCTGTATTTTCACTAACGATCTCTGTACAGGTTTA